TTCCACAAGCACTCGGTGGATCTGTCGGCCGGCGGCGAGCGCGTCATGGTGACGCGCGAGGCGTACGGCAAAATGGCCCGCCTGTTCCGCCTGCACGCGCTGCCCGCAGAGGCGCCGCCGGAGGCGGAGGGGGCCGGCGGCGCCGCGGACGACGAGGCCGCGGCGGCCGCGGCGGCCGCGGAGGCGGCGGCGGGGGTGGAAGAGGGACAGGGGGACGGCGCGAGGACGGCGTTCCACGCGCGGCTGTTTGCGCTGCTGCTGCGGTACAAGTGCCTGCAGGGGCACGGCTTCCAGGTGAGTGTGTGTGTATGTGTGTGTTTGTGTGTGTGTGTGTGTGTGCATGCGCGCGTGTCAAGGTATGTGCGTGCGCGCTTGCGTGTGTGTGTGAGTGTGTGAGTGTTGGCGGGACGCACTCGAAGTGGCGCAGCGGGGCTGGTTGCGGGGTGGCGCAATTCGTCTGTGGCCCACAACTGAAGGGGTTTGAAAAATTCTAAAGCTGGACACGTCCGTCCAAGACCGCGACTAGAGACGGCCCATAGGCGCCTCGTGCGGCGTCTCGTGCACAATGGTTCACGCTCGTGCTGAAGCCAACGTCCCGCCCCCCCGCTCCTGCAGGCCGCGGTCGGCCCGCCCGTGTGGCAGGTGCTGCGGCGGCGCCTGTCTGTCGGCTTCGAGTGCTTCGCGTCCCCCCTCAACAGCAGCTTCACGCGCTGCGCGTCAGCCTTCCCGGATGTGGACGGCCCGTTTGGTTCCTGCGGCAGCTTCTTCAGGTGCGGTGCTGTGGATCGCTCGTGGCAAGGGGCGCGGGTGCAGCAGCAGCAGCAGCAGCAGCAGCAGCAGCAGCAGCAGCAGCAGCATCAGCAGCAGCAGCAGGAGGACTTCGCAGCAGCATGCTTCTGCTGCGCGCTGTGCTGGTGCTATGTTAAGCAGTCAACATCTCTGCAGCGCAGTCGGGCCCTGCCCTGGCAGATGGTGGCGGCGAGTGTCAGAGGGGAGCTGCCAAAACGCGCGCCTTGGTTGGCGGCGCACCGGGCGTGCGCTCTGCTGTCCTGCAGCAGCAGCGGGGGTTGCAGCAGCAGCGCTGGCCTCAGTGTCGCTCGCCTGCCCGGCTGGCGCATTGCTGCCCCACCATCTTGTCTTTCGTTATCTCAGTGTTCACAGCCACGCGCGCACAGCCACACTGACGCGTGCGCGTGCTTGCACACACACCCGCACACACACACCCGCGCGCACACACACACACACACATGCGCGCGCACACACACAAACACGCGCGCACAAGCTCAAACATGCGCGCGCACACACAATCACACAAATCCGCACACACCCGCGCACACGCACGCATGCATGGATGCACACACACACTCACACACACACACGCACACACACCCACATCATCACACTTGGCGTGCACGCATCCGGACACACCAGGCGTTTTATCTCATCTCATCGCACGCATGCGGTCTGTGACAAGCCACTGGAAAAATCCGCCAACAACCAACCGTCCAACCCCAGGCTGCCCCTCAAGCACGGCTCCTACGAGTGCAACCCGCCATTCGTCGCCGCAGTCATGGACGCCGCCGCGGACCGCATGCACGTGCTGCTCAACGCCGCGGAGGCAGCCGGCGGCGCGCTGAGCTTCTGCGTGGTCATCCCCGGCTGGCAGGAGACGCGCGCGTGGCGGGCGCTGAGCGGGAGCGCTTTCTTGAAGAAGCGCATCGTTGTCGCGGCCGCGGAGCACGGTGCGCGCTGCAGACACACACACACGCACACACATGCGCACATACACACACACACACACGCACACATGCACACACATACACACGCGCGCGCGCGTACGCGTGCGTGCGCGTGCGCGTGCGTGCGCAATGGGGGATGGTGCGGCCTTTGGAAGGGGCAGGAAGCGCCGCGAGGCCTTGCGCACACAATGGCGTCGCCAAAGCAAGGCGCCTGCCGCCCCGCGCCCCGTCGCCTCCCTCCCGGCTCCTGCGGTCGCCGCGCCCCGCGGCGCGTGCGGGGTGCGCTCTGCTCGCCGATCACCGCCGCGGACGACCCGCGTGCGGCCGCAACCTCCTTCGCGCTGAGGCGCAGGCTTCTGCGACGGCGCCTCCCACCAGCGGCGCGACCTCTACCGGCAGTCGCCCTACGACACGGGTGTCTTCATCCTGCAGACGGCCAAGGGCGCCGCCAAGTGGCGCCTGGACGGCGCGTTTGAGCAGGCGCGTGTACGCGAGAGGCCGTCCGCTGAGCGATGGCATGCAGCGGCGCTTTGCCGTTGGGGTGGGGGGCGGAGAGGGGGGCTGACGGGGCGGAGAGCTAGCAGCCTGCTGCAGATAATGAGATGCGAACCTTGCAATCGCGGCCGCCGGCCCGCCGGCCGGCCGGGGACCGGCGCGGATCGCCGGCGTCGGCGCCGCCCAAAAAAGCACGCGCGCGCGCGCACCCGCCGGACGTGCGCAGGACGTGCGCGCGGCGTTCGCCGCATGCATCCCGTCGGCCGCGGCCGCCGAGCGGCAGCGGCGCAAGCTGGGCGCGTCTGAGATCGAGCACTGGGGTGTGGCGCCGGCGGCGGCGGCGGTGGGGGCTGGAAGGGAGGGGACCGCTGCAGGGGGAAGCGACGGCCCGCAGGAAGGGGCGAAGCGCAAGGCGTTGCCTCAAGCGCCGACGGCAGCAGTGGATAATGCAGCCAAGGCCGGCGCGGCAGACAGCGGCCCGGCGATGGAGCAGGGGCCTAATGGTGATGATGGCGGCACGGAAGGAGGCAGGAAGCAGAAGAGCAAGCGGCAAAAGGGAGGCTGACTGACACGGCTTGTCCCGCACGGGCTGTTGAGGTGGTCGCTGTAGAGGTCGCCTCCCAGCCACTGGCGCTCCCCCAAGGACAAGGGCTGTTTGACAGGTGGCCTTGCAGGCGTCTTGCTGCAGGCCGTGCCTGCTCGCCACTGTAAAAAAAAACCAGTGCCGGGGTGAATATCCATGGGCCATGCGGCATGCGTGAGGGTGTTGCTGTGTGCAGGCTTGCACTGCCCCAGCTTGTAAGAGGGTGAACAAGCCGAGCAGCTGTCAGTTCAAGCTTCTAGGCGGGGCTGCACACACCGCCAAACAACGTCACTAGCGCATCAATCCTAATTGCAGGAGCTATGCAATGGCCGCGCGGCTGTTGGGCGTGGTCCTCGACCACGCCGCCATCTGGCAGGTGTCTGCGTGGGCGCCGCCGCGCCGGCGGCCCCAGCGTCGGATGGCATTCCCGCACAAGGTACCCCCTTTGGTGTTGAGCGGGGCCAGGGCAGCCGCAGCTGAATCGCCACCAGCGGCGCGTCACGCAGCGCGAGCGAGCGATCCCGAGCCGGCACCGGCGCCAGTGCCGAGATGCCCAGCGCGGTGCCCCGATGCTCGGGCGGTGCCGCATGGCATCGTTGGTGTCATGGCGGCGACGCATGCACTCATCGTGGCCAGCAGCGCCACCTGTCTGTGGCAGGTGGCAGGTGCGTTGGAAGGGTTGTAGTGGCAGGTGGCAGGTGCGTTGGAAGGGTTTCAGCTTATGGCATGTGGGCAGCAGGAAGGAGCTCTTGCACGGCTCTCGTCACCCGGCGAGCATCAATGACTGGGGGGGGTCATGTACAGCAGAGGGGGTCATCGTGCGACCCACAACTACACCTACTATGCGGTCGCGCATAGACAGGACAAAAATATAGGTTTTTTTCTGTGTGGATGAGTTAACTCCGACCAGCGTGTCAGTCCATTCGGCGTTGATGCCGGAGTCCTACGGTATCATTCAATCATCCTACGTGTGGGCCGGCCACAGTGGCTGACCACAATGCCCCGCTAATTCGTGCGGTAAACGTAATATTCTACCTCGGAAAAACAGAATGGATGGGCGTGCACAATCGCTCAACACATGGGTGCAGGCTGCTGCTGGCTGTTTTGGGCAGCGTGGCTGGCACTCACTGCAGCGTCTGTGGGCAGTCTGGTCAATTGGGCCAAATGTGGGGCCTGCGCATCGCAGGCAGGCTGTCGCACTGCTCAAGCGCTCTCAGGGAGCACTGACCATGGGAACGAAGAAGGATTGTTTCGACTGGGAGGATCGCTCATAGGGTCAGTTCACCGTATTGCTGGCCCATCTCAAGACAGACCGCTCACACCCAGACGCTCACGAAACAGCTGTGTGCCTGTGGGTAAGCTGGCAAATCACACAGCCTTCCCCCACCGGTCATGTGCACAGAACGGTCATGGTCATCATCATGCATGTTTACAGGGCAAAGCCTTTCATTGAACAATTGGATTATTTTCACCTAGCAAACTACAAGCAACAGATCTCAGCGAAATAAACCCATACATCATCGTACGCATGCAGCCTGCGCGCAATCAACGCGTGACGCCGTGTTTGCAGGGTTGTTAACACCATGTCGCAAGTTTTTAAGTTTCAACCTAATCAATTGCCAAAGCGGCTGGCGGTCGGTTCAGCCGTCTCGGGAGACAGTTCTTTTCGTCGCTCTGCCATCGAGATGGCACGGCTCCTGCACGCATGCCGATCCGCTGAAGGCGCAGGTGGCAGCCGCTGGGGTGGTGCTTGCCTTTCGTGCACCTCAAGGCGTTGTGAGGCAAGAGGGCGCCTTGCGCTTGATTGCACAAGGCGCCCTCTCGCCTTGCGCTTGATTGCAACGTCAGGACGCGTTGGTTGCAGCCTAGGCAGCCGGC